GTGTCCGATGACCCCGCCTGCCAACCAACATGGCTGATATGGCTAAAAATAGAACATAGGGGTAAAATGCAGTTTCTGGCATATATCTCTGAAACTAAAGCATTCAGAGCAAATCTGACTGGGCTGAAAATGTTTATCAGGTGAAGAACTATCTGCCCTGAAATTTTCAGACGAATCAGACAACCCGTTGTTGGGTTGCTGCCCCGGCCCTGAATTGGTAATTTTAAGGAAATTTTGCAGTTTTTGGTAGTTATCTTGAATTTTTTATAGAAAGAGATAAACCGTAAACAGCGATAATGTTCAGCAAAGTAATATCTACAGAAAAGTTACACATGACCAAAATGGTCAATTGACCCCTTAAGGAGTTATTGGCCTTTATAGTAAATTTTTAACAATTTTTTCGTAAATTTTTGTTATCTTTTACAAAAATCTTCTCCTCTGAAACTACTGGGCCAAATAGAATCAAACTTGGCCACAATCCTTATTAGGCCACACCAAATTAATTTCTAGTTCTTCGGATTTTTGTCTCGCCTTGACGGAGTCAAAAAGCGAGACATAGTTATGCTGTTTCCGGTGTCGGCGCCGACGGCAGCGTCAACAATGTATTAGTTTGTGATTAGGTCTAGTTCATGGTGAACCACTAGTGGTAGGTCAATGATATTTGGTATGCAGTTGTATTAGCATTGGCACATCTCATTACCATAGAGATTATTTGGCCCCGCCTCGTCAGTCAAGGTCTATTGACTTTGAACTTTGCTTCGTTTACATGTATTAGTTTGTGATTAGGTCTAGTTCATGGTGAACCACTAGTGGTAGGTCAATGATATTTGGTATGCAGTTGTATTAGCATTGGCACATCTCATTACCATGGAGATTACTTGGCTCGCCCCCTCAGTCAAGGTCTATTGACTTTGAAACTTTGCTTGGTTTAAATGTATTAGTTTGTGATTAGGTCTAGTTCATGGTGAACCACTAGTGGTAGGTCAATGGTATTTGGTATGCAGTTGTATTAGCATTGGCACATCTCATTACTTTGGAGATTACTTGGCCCTGCCCCGTCAGTCAAGGTCTATTGACTTTGAACTTTGCTTTGTTTACATGTATTAGTTTGTGATTAGGTCTAGTTCATGGTGAACCACTTGTGGTAGGTCAATGATATTTGGTATGCAGTTGTATTAGCATTGGCACATCTCATTACCATGGAGATTATTTGGCCCTGCCCCCTCAGTCAAGGTCTATTGACTTTGAAACTTTGCTTTGTTTACATGTATTAGTTTGTGATTAGGTCAGTTTATGGGGAACCACTAGTGGTAGGTCAATGATATTTGGTATGCAGTTGTATAAGCATTGGCACATCTCATTTCCATTGAGATTATTTGGTCCCGCCCCCTCATTCATGGTCTATTGACTTTGAAACTTTTGCTTCGTTTTCATGTATTAGTTTGTCACCGTCACCGTCATCAGATTAGGTCAGTTCAAGGGGAACTGTTAGTGGTAGGTCAATGATAATTGGTGTTCAGTTGTATAAGCATTAGCACATCTCATTTCCATGGAGAATATTTGGTCCCGCCCCCTCAGTCATGGTCTATTGACTTTGAAACTTTTGCTTAGTTTACATGTATTAGTTTGTGATTAGATCAGTTTGAGATGAACCGCTAATGTTAAGTCAGTGATATTTGGTATGCAAATGCATTGGCATTTGCAAGTCTCGTTTCCATGGATTATATAGCCCCACCCCTGATCATGGTTCATTGACTTTGAAACTTTTACATAGTTTACAAGTTAATGTTTGTGTTTAGGTTTGTTTAAAGGGAACGACTTATGATAAGTCAATGGTATTTGGTATGCAGTTGTATTAGCATTGGCACATCTCATTTCCATTGAGTACCTTCAGTCATGGTTCATTGACTTTGAATATTTGCACAACTTACATGTTAAAGTTTTGCTATTTTAATTTCAACATTTGCATTATCAAAAGTACAAAAAGGCAAGACATATCTCTGTGTTAACAGTTTATTTCTTTTCAAAAAGAGTAGCGATCGAGCGAAATTATTTTATTTGTTTTTTTTCAAATTTGATTTTTATCAGGCGAAAGAATTTTTCACTAGCGAGCGCTTTTATTTTTCATATATAAAAAAAAATCCATTAAAAGCATTTTATGCAAGCGAGCGGTCAGAAATTTACACTGTTTTGGTGCTTCATGTTTTAATGCGACTGCAATAAATTTTTGCGGTCGTATATTGGTATGACGTTGGCGGCATCGTTGTCGTCCGAAGACACATTGGTTTTCGCAAAATAACTTTAGTTAAAGTGAATGGATCTCTATGAAATTTTACCATAAGGTTCAATACCACAAAAGGAAGGTTGGGATTGATTTTGGGGGTTATGGTACCAACAGTTAAGGAATTAGGGGCCAAAAATAAGCATTTTTGTAACTTCCAGACAATAACTTGTGTGTTAGTTTATGGATCTCTCTGACATTGTACCATAAGGTTCCATATCACAAATGGAATGCTGGGATTGAATTTGGGGGTAATTGCCTCAAAATTTTAGGAATTAGGGGGCAAAAAACAAGCATTTTTCTAGTTTCATGACAATAACTTGTATGTAAGTGTATGGATCTTTCTGAAATTGTACTACAAGGTTCCATATCACAAAGAAAAAGCTGGAATTGAGTTTGGGGGTAATTGCCCAAAACATTTAGGAATAAGGGGCCAAAAATAAGCATTTTTCTAGTTTCCAGACAATAACTTGTGTTCAAGTGTATGGATCTCTCTGAAATTGTACTGCAAGGTGCCATACTACAAAGGGAAGGCTGGGATTGATTTTGGGGGTAATTGCCTCAAAATTTAAGGAATTAGGGGCCAAAAAGGGTAAATAAACAAGCATTTTTCTAGTTTCAGGACAATAACTTGTGTGTAAGTTTATGGATCTTTATGAAATTGTACTACAAGGTTCCATATCACAAAGGGAAAGCTGGGTTTGAGTTTGGGGGTAATTGCCCTAAATGTTTAGGAGTTTGGGGCCAAACAGGGATAAAAAAACAAGCATTTTTACAGTTTCAAGACAATAACTTGTGTTCAAGTGTATGGATCTCTCTGAAATTGTACTGCAATGTACCATACCCCAAAGGGAAAGCTGGGATTGAGTTTGGGGTAGATGAATCATAAGGGGGTTCAAAGAATTGGAGGTTGGGATTTTTTTTTCCTTTTTTTCCTTTTTTTTTTCTTTAAAATTTTCCATTTTAAGTTGGTTATTTTTTATTTATATATACAAGCAAATAATAATGATATGGTTTGATTTCATCAAAAATTGAAATATTGGGGTTCTTTGATATGCTGAATCTAACCGTGTATTTAGATTCTTAATTTTTGGTCCTGTTTTCAAATTGGTCTACATTAAGGTCCAAAGGGTCCAAAATTAAACTTAGTTTAATTTTAACAAAAATTGAATTCTTGGGGTTCTTTGATATGCTGAATCTAACCGTGTATGTATTTAGATTTTGGATATTGGACCATAATAGGTAAATTCAAAATTTTTAAGTTCTTAGACCACATTCATTCTGTGTCAGAAACCTATGCTGTGTCAAATATTTAATCACAATCCAAATTCAGAGCTGTATCAAGCTTGAATGTTGTGTCCATACTTGCCCCAACTGTTCAGGGTTCGACCTCTGCGGTTGTATCAAGCTGCGCCCAGCGGAGCATTTTATTATATATATATCCTAGTTCTTATATTACCCTACTTTGCTTATCAATTTGTTCTGTGACACCCTGTTGAATTCTTTTCACAACATTTCCAGTACAAATAAGATTAACTAGTAGCAAAACCTACAACCTCGTGTAGTCTGCTCAAATAAAGATTCTGCCTGAACATGGAAAAGTCCAACAGCTTTAAACAGGCAGGCATCCATGCTTGATGTAAGTTATAATTGATGTGATATAAAAATAAGGAAATGTGGTATGATAGCCAATGAGGCAACTATCCAACAAGGTTCAAATGAAGTGGATGTATGCAATTATAGGCAACATACAGCCTTCAACAATGAGAAAGCCCATACCGTACAGTTGGCTATAAAAGGCCCTGACATGAAAAATATGAAACATTTCAATTGAGAGAACTAACGGCCTAATTTATAACAAAACAGTTTATGATAAACAAATATGACCGACATGAACCAATGACAACCAGTGAACTACAGGCTCCTGACTTGGGACAGGCACATATAGAATGGTATGTTGTTTAAATAAAGGTATGCAAAGCATATATATGCATGTATAAGTGACGAAATTGATTAGAAATACTTTGTCATTTCGAAAATTGTTTCGTAAATGGCGAAAATGACGAGCACTAGCAAAATCACTTAAAGTACATGTAGTATAAGCAATATGTCAATTATGTTTGGTGTATGATATGATTATAAGCTGTATTAATCTGTCTGGCAGAGTTCATCAGACCTTGACCTCATTTTCATGGTTCATTGGTCAGTGTTAAGTTTTTCTGTTTAAGTCTGCTTCTTAGTTACATGTACTATAAGCAATATGGTCAACTACATTTGATGCATTGAATGATTGTAAGGTGTAAATGTCTGTCTGGCTTGGTTTATCTGACCTTAGCCTCATTTTCATGGATCATTGATAATGTTAAGTTTATGTGGTACATGTAGTAAAACTTTCTCTCTAGGACTATCAACGGACTATCAACATGATCAACATAAAATCAATTATTGTTAGTTAGGCAGGCGAGACATTTAAGCGTGTGCACTCTTCTTTTAAATAAATAATTTAGTGACAAGAAAACAAATTTAGGGACAAGAAATCTAAATTATTTCAAATAAGTTAATTATTTTAAAGAAACTTGCATTAAAGTCACAAATAATTGTTTAATATGATTGTCCTGCTTGTTTGTGGACAGTTTTTAGAGGCTGAAAATTAATGAATTTAATATTGTACATATATATGTTTGTCTTAATACTTGTATATAAAACTTATAATTTTTAGGTCTGCGGAAGTGCAATTGATGTTTTGGTGTTTGATGGAAAAAGATCACACCCTGTTTGTAGATAAGTTCATTTAGGTATGTAATCAGACAAATATACAAGGTTTTGAGTTTAGTTTCTAGCCATGTGAGCTTTTGTCATCCACAAGAGACCAAATGACACAGAAATTAACAACTATAGGTCATGTATGGCCTTCAACAATGAGCAAAGCCCATACCCCATAGTCAGCTATAAAAGGCCCCGAAATGACAAATGTAAAACTATTCAAATGAGAAAACTAACGGCCTGATTTACGTACAAAATTATGAACGAATAACAAATATGATCTACAGCGACAAACGACAACCACTGGATTACAGGCTTCTGACTTCAAACAGGCACATACAGAATGTGGCGGGGTTAAACATGTTAGCGGGCACCCAACCCTCCCCCTAACATGGGACAGTGGTGTAAAAGTACAACATATGAACAAACTATGACTATAACTATCAATTAAAAAGGGCTTAACTCATCAGACAGATACAAAGCAAAAACAAGTAACAAAACCACAGAGCGGATGTGTCAGGGTACTTATACATCCTCACAACAAAAAGACACTAAGTACAGATCTGAGAGTACTCACAGTTACTGACAGCTAGTTCAAAGCCAATAACAACTAATAAAAAAAATCATGTATCTAAGACTAAAATAAGCATGTAATTATTTATCTGCCATGAAATTTTAAGACCAATTGTACAACCCTATTTGGAGTTGTTGGCCCTGAAAAAATGAACTTTTCTGTTTTTGGTTAAAATCTTGAAAACTGTTATAAATAAAGAAAAATTGCAACAGCAATATTCAGCAAGTCAAGATCTACATATAAGTTTACTTACCAAAATTGTAAATTGATCCCTTAAAGGAGTTGTTGCCCTTAAGAGACACTTTTTGATAAATTTTCAAGTTTTTTGCAGAAACTGTGATAGATAGAGAGAAACATTAAGTGGCAAAAATGTTCCACAGAGTAAGATGTACGAAAATGTTACCATGATCAAAATGGCGATTGATCCTTTAAATTTATAGCAGGTATTTCCCTTGAAAGATTATTTGTACCAAACTTGTTTTTGTTTTTTGTAGACTCTATAATAGATACCAATAAACGTTAAATGGCAAAGATGTTTAGCAATGTTAGACCTACAAATAAGTCAACATGGTTGAAATTGTCAATCGACCTCTTAAGAGTTTGAATATCCCTGTGATATCTTTTGTAGGAGTTATTTCCCTTGTTTGGCATTTCCTTGCCATTGTTTAAATATTATAGAAATTAGGTTAACAGGTGCTATAAACAGTTTCATATAAAAAACTAGGGGTTATTCCCTGACTAAAAAAAGCGATGGAGGGAAATTCCTTTTTATTTACATAACTGGTGAAACAGTATCATGCTTTTTGTATTTGATGGTAAAAATTAGTTGATTAGCTTTCAATTTTTCAATTAAAACAGGCTGAATGATTAAAATAATTTCATAGATTAGATTGAATATATATATATATATATATATATATATACATGTTTTAAGGGGAGACAACACTGTAAAGTTCCTGTTTTTTTGGTAGTGAAAATTGAAAACTTTTTTGTATCTACTGTAGCTCTTTTCGAAGCAGGAGAACCTACCCTGAAGCGAGATTTGTTTAAAGACTAAGTAAAAATCTATGAAATTCATACAGTTTTGATTATCTGAAATGGGTGCTAGACAAGTCGGCCCTATACAACTTGGACCGTCTATGAAGACAACTCTGACCGTCAATAAGGCCATAAAAAAGAATAGGTTGTTTTGCTCTAACCCAACCGACCCATATAAAAGCACCCGAGTCAAAATCTTTTTTTAATCAAAATTCGTGATGTTTTTTTTTTTTGCTGAGTTTTGTCGTATCCGTATCTGTCTTCAGTTTGTTGCATAGAATAACCTGATCCAAATTGACCGCGCTTTATCACAGGACAATTTGTGTTATGTATTGAGGCCTTCAATTGATACGGATGAAAAACAACATGTTACCGTCTAGTACAAATAAAGGTTGGATTAAAATCAAACCCCGTTGTTTCCAACAAATTCTATCGTTATGAAAACGCAAAAACATGGAGAGAAATCTTTAATTGCACAGTATATGGCGCATTAGATTTGTAAAATCTTTGACCACATTTATTTCTTTGTTATGCCGAATCTAACCATGTATTTAGATTTTTAATTTTGGGTCCAGTTTTCAAATTGGTCTACATTAAGGTCCAAAGGGTCCAAAATTAAACTTAGTTTGATTTTAACAAAAATTGATTATATGGTGTTCTTTGATATGCTGAATCTAAACATGTATATAGATTTTTGATTTTGGGCCCAGTTTTCAAGTTGGTCCAAATTGGGGTCCAAAATTAAACTTTGTTTGATTTCAACAAAAATTGAATATATGAGGGTCTTTGATATGCTGAATCTAACCATGTATTTAGATTTTTTATTTGTGGGCCCCGCTATCAAATTGGTTCATATTGAGGTTAAAAGGGTCCAAAATTAAACTTTGTTTGATTTCATCATAAATTGAATTATTGGGGTTCTTTGATATGCCAAATCTAACCGTGTATTTAGATTTTTAATTTTGGGTCCCATTTTTTAAATTGGTCTACATTAAGGTCCAAAGGGTCCAAAATTAAACTTAAAGTTCTTAGACCACATTCATTCTGTGTCAGAAACCTATGCTGTGTCAAATATTTAATCACAATCCAAATTCAGAGCTGTATCAAGCTTGAATGTTGTGTCCATACTTGCCCCAACTGTTCAGGGTTCGACCTCTGCGGTCGTATCAAGCTGCGCCCCGCGGAGCATTTTATTCATCTTGAGATTGGTCATTTTTTTCATTTTCTCTGAATAAAACTTCTTTATCATGTTAGAATTACACTTTATTTTTATTTCATTATAAACTATTGAAAATTCTAGGAGTTATTGTCCTTAAATGACTAATTTTACCATTTTTTTCATTTTTTGCCTTTTGTCTTGAAAACTATGACAGATAGAGAGAAACTTTAAGTTGCGAAAATGATCAGCAAGACAAGTTCTACAAATAAGTCTGCATGGTCTAAATCGTCAGTCGACTCCATATTAGAATTATTATCCTTTAATGATGATTTTGACCATGTTTTGCCTTGTATGATAAAAATTATAATAGATAGACACTTTAAATCACAAAAATGATCTGGAAGGCAAGATCTACCAACAAGTCAAATCATTCCGATATAGTTAGTAGACTGTCACTCTTTAAAGAAGTTGTTGCCCTTAAATGAGGATTTTTTTTTACCCTCTTTTGTGTTTTGCGCAAAAACAAAAGAAGATAGAGAGAAACTAAACAGACTAAAGGATCAGTAATACAAGATCAACAAAACATAAATTTTTGTCATGAATTCTATTCTCATGAACAATGTTGGAGATTTTCCTTCGTTAAATATGCACATAGACCAGGGTGAGCGACACAAGCTCTTTAGAGCCTCTAGTTTCACAGATGCTGGCTGATATCATAAAAACTATAGAGCTAGGTTAAAAGTATAAACATGATAAAGTACATAAAGGTTCAGCACAACATTTCAACAAGATGTATCTTCCCTAAAAATTTGAGAAAAATCTTGTCAACCTGTTTTTGAGTTATTGCCCCTGAAATATTCTTGTTTCAAAGTTTTTGCTGTTATTGATAATCATGCAGGAGCTAGATTAAAAGTGTAAATTGTAAAAATGACCAGCTTGACAAGATCTATTAACCCTAGAAATGTAAAAAAAAAAAACAAATATGTCAACCTGTGTTTTTGAGTTATTGCCCCTGAAATTTACATTTTTTTCATATTTTTTTGCAATTTTCCGGTTATCTGGAAAACTACAGGAGCTAGCTAAAGGTTAAAAGTGTAAATTAAATGATCAGCATGACAAGATTTTTTTACTCAGATATTTTTGACAACTGGTTTTGGAGTCATTGCCTCTGAAATGTTGGTTTTTACAGGTGTATCAGTTTGGGCTGTTATCTAAAAACTTATAGAAGCTAGGTTAAACATGTAATTGCAAAAAATATCAGCAACACAAAGACTTACTTTAGTATGTGCATATAAAAATCATAATTTGCAAACTGGCGAAGTTTTCACAAGGTGAGCAATACAGGCATAGGTGTGCACCTCTTCATTTAATTTCAAATAGTGCAAAAAATTTGAGATAAGTCTTTTTAAATGTTAGTATTACCGATACATGTATTTCAATTAGATTAAAATATTAGGTCAGTTAATTTCAAGTCCATAAGTATCATGTATTTTCAATTCATGCAATTAGCAGTAACAATGACAACTCAATCATAATGCAACAGTAAATATTTGAATTTTTGTTTTTTCTATTTTTAGGATATAATGGAAAGCTGGAATGAGGTAAGATTTACTTTTAAGTCCAATTGTCATGTGACCTTTTGTTTTCCATTTTCTGACAGAAAATACAAGTATGTGATACTTGAAATCTTGGAACAATATATCTAATGGGAAATGAATCTGATAGGCTTTTCAGTATAAAATTGATAAAATCTCGGACTCCATGAGACAATTCGCGAGATTTATGGATTTTGGTGGCGTCTGACTGAAAAACTATGGGAACTGCTCAATAAATTAACCACATATAAATTCTAATCGCAAATAAATACAAGTTTTATCATAAAGTAGATATATTTTGTCATATAAAATTACCAAAATAAATGTGATTTATTTGATGTGAAGTGTTTTATAATGTTTTTGAATTAAGGAATGCAATCGGCACCACAATTAATTTCCCTGTTTGAATTCTGTACCATTCTGTGATAAAATGAATGCGATTCTAACAAATTTAACGTTTTTCAAATATAAAGTGTATAAAGTTTATTCTATATCTAGTACCTTCAGAATGCTTGTTTACAATGTCAAATACATAACCCTATTGAGTTATTAGAGAAAATATTGGACAATTTTTAATAAATAAAAAATGCAGAAGTTCTCTCCCCTTAAGCTTGCCATTGTTAAGTTCATGTTAGTTGAAAAAAAACATATCTATTTTAGGATATAAAGTGTAAACTGACACAACACACCATTTCTATCCAAAAGTTTTTTTATGCCCCTGCAACTGAAAGTTTGGGGCATATTGTTTTACCCCTGTCTGTCCTTCTGTCCCATTATTGGTATATAGTTATTCCAGATAACTCCTCCTACAGTTTGAATGCTAGGAAGTTTTCACTTTGCTGGCTGTTTGTACATATATTGAAGGTGTGCATGTCGTCAGGGTTTTGATTTTTATTAATATTTTGCTCTTTTGGGAGATAGTTGAACTTTGTCATTTTTGGAGTATACAGGGCTCGACAATAACGCTTGTCCGATTGTCCGGTACCAGAGGAAAAAAAGGTCGGACAAGTAAAAGCTATATCAAGCTTGTCCGTCGGGACAAGTTAAATTATTATGCAGACAAATAAATTTAATCCAACTTTGATGAACAAAGTAATTATAAACAAAAAACAAGAAAAGAAGATAAACACAAGTATTAATTTGACATGTTTACTTGCAATCGATAATTTAAAACTGGTTCTTTGTCAGGTACTTTTTAACAGGTAAAAGACATACATGTACTATTCTCGGAAACCAGTCTTACTGATCCGAATCAGCGATGCGCTTTGTAGATAAGGTAACTTTACAAGACAGTTCGTCACCAGCTCGGAAACGATTCGGCTCCAAGTTTAATAGACAGTTTGGCACCGTAGGAGACATATTTAATAGACATGATTAATAGACAGTTTGGCAACGCAGGAGACATTTCGGGACCAAGACAAATCAGTACCTCGTTTTCCTACCTTATTCTGTTCCTTTATAATAAATACCATACCGTATTTTTTTTAACAAAAATATTTTTTAAATAAAAATGAAGAAATTATTTACCATAAAATTCCCAAATCATATTTGATCATATATAGAAGAAAAAAACAATACTTGCAATACGGTGACCTATAGTTATTAATTTCTGTGTCATTTGGTCTCTTGCAGAGAGTTGTCTCATTGGCAATCATACCTCATCTTCTTTTTTTTTATTGATTGAATTTGAAGAAACTCTGTTCAACTTAAAAACCCAGGATACAAATCCAATGAGTGGAAATTGACAGGCCTATCAGACGGTGCCTCATGTGTAGAGTCTGATGAGACTTTGGCATTGATGAAAACTAGAACATAAGTCCTGTGACATGACTAGATTCAGTTGTTCTCGACTCATATTTTTAAAAGGTATTTCAAAAGATATAAATCGAATTCTGTTCTATTGTTTTAATTCATTTTGTTCCTTGAATCAACTTAAAATGCAAAAAAGGTTATTATTAAGATTTTTGTTGGACAAGTTACAATTTCATTCGGACAAGTAAGTTTTGGTATGTACTTGTCCTACTGGACAAGTTGGAAAAAAAGTTATTGTAGAGGCCTGGTATATACTTGCATATTTAAGAGGTGCTTAGCGTTTCCAGATAACTCCTCCTACAGTGAACCATAGACCTATGTGCTCCCATGCTCAACTTTGTGTAGTTTAAAATAACACTTTGCATCTGTGGGGACATCATTTGTGTCTCCCAGACACCATAATATCTCCAGGAAAGTCCTACATTGACTTTGTTTTAATACAGTTACTTCAGAGTGGCGTGTGGAGACACCACTTTGTCTACTGTCTCTTTATTGTATTATCAACATCTCTTTTTATTCAGTCTACATAAATAATTTTATTTTTAAGTAAGCATGGTGGAAGTTCTACTATCTGATATAGAATTAGTAAGAAAAATGAGGAGAAATACAAAGGGGACAACTAAAGGCGTTAATGAATGACAAAAACAACTACATAGCACCAATATCATAACAATGCTTAATAAATGAACCGACTTTGATAAGTTTAACCTGAACTTATCAAGTCATTTCCCTATTTGCTGGTGAAACAAAGAAAATACAGAAATACAATCCAGTAAATCAATTATCAGATTGTCATCATATTTATATTGTAAAATATCAGCTGTTTTATACAATATGAATAGATATAGGAAGATGTGGTATGGGTGCCAATGAGACAACTCTCCATCCAAGTTACAATTTATAAAAGTAAACCATTATAGGTCAAGGTACGGCCTTCAACACGGAGCATTGGCTCACACCGAACAGCAAGCTATAAAGGGCCCTAAAAAATTACTAGTGTAAAACCATTCAAACGGAAGAACCAACGGTCTAATCTATATAAAAACGAGAAACGAGAAACACGTATGAACTACATAAACAGACGACAACTACTGTAATCAGATTCCTGACTTAGGACAGGTGCAAATATTTGCAGGGGGATTAAACGTTTTAATGGTGCCAAACCTTCTCCCTTTTCTGAAACAATAGTATAACATCACAACATAGAAAAACACACTATTCAATATCAATTGGAAGGCTTAACTCAATCAAAAAACGTAAATTAACACACAATGAACGAATGAAGCCTTTTTGAACTCATTCACTGTGCTCCCTTGAAAAAAAGCTTCATATTGTGACTCACAGCTGATATTTAACAATATCAATACATAGACAACCGGATAATCGGTACAAATCCTCTCTCCATGGATGTTATTTGAGGTGAGGATACCCCCGATTTATATAGTTATTTGCCATGCAGGAGAATAAATAATTATTGCTTTATTTAACAGTTATTTCATTCATTTTTCATTACAATCATTTAAATGTAAAACCTATGTTTTACTTGCAGAAACTTCTTACAGCCTCTAAGACTGGAAATGTAAAAGATGTGAAAATTTGCCTAGAGAATAAAGCAGGCATTAATTATCAAGGGGTAGGTAAAATAGTCTCATTAGGTACAGTAGTAATATCCAAATCAGTACTAGAGGAAATTAATTATGTACAGTAAAAAAATAACATACAACTATAGATAACTTCAGAACATAGTAGATCTTACTTGAGCAATATAAATCACATAACTACATGTTACTTCAAAATACAGCAAATTATAATAGAATGAAATACAATTGCATGCTACTTCAAAACCTGTCAGTTGAATATAATCAGTTTAAAACACTTACTTTAAATAACTTAAACATTGCTGGTTAACAATACAGCAGATTGTTACAGTATAAATCACAACTGTTAGTCACTTCAAAACATGACAGTATGAACATTAACAGAATAAACACATAACTATAAGTCACTTTAAAACATCACAGTATGAACATTAACAGAATAAACACACAACTATAAGTCACTTCAAAACATGACAGCATGAACATTAACAGAATAAACACATAACTATAAGTCACTTTAAAACATGACAGTAAGAACATTAACAGAATAAACACACAACTATAAGTTACTTCAAAACATGACAGTATGAACATTAACAGAATAAACACACACCTATGAGTAACTACAAAACATGACATTAAGAACATTAACAGAATAAACACATAACTATAAGTCACTTCAAAACATGACAGTAAGAACATTAGCAGAATAAACACATAACTATAAGTCACTTCAAAACATGACAGTAAGAACATTAGCAGAATAAACACACAACATAAGTCACTTCAAAACATGACAGTATGAATATTAACAGAATAAACACACAACTACGAGTAACTACAAAACATGACATTAAGAACATTAACAGAATAAACACATAACTATAAGTCACTTCAAAACATGACAGTAAGAACATTAGCAGAATAAACACACAACATAAGTCACTTCAAAACATGACAGTAAGAAAATTAACAGAATAAACACACAACTGTTAGTCACTTCAAAACATGACAGTAAGAACATTGACAGAATAAACACATAACTATAAGTCACTTTAAAACATGACAGTTAGAACATTAACAGAATAAACACACAACTATAAGTCACTTCAAAACATGACAGTATGAACATTAACAGAATAAACACACAACATAAGTCACTTCAAAACATGACAGTAAGAACATTGACAGAATAAACACATAACTATAAGTCACTTCAAAACATGACAGTAAGAACATTAGCAGAATAAACACACAACATAAGTCACTTCAAAACATGACAGTAAGAACATTAACAGAATAAACACACACATATGAGTAACTACAAAACATGACATTAAGAACATTAACAGAATACACATAACTATAAGTCACTTCAAAACATGACAGTAAGAACATTAACAGAATAAACACATAACTGTTAGTCACTTCAAAACATGACAGTAAGAACATTAACAGAATAAACACACACATATGAGTAACTACAAAACATGACATTAAGAACATTAACAGAATACACATAACTATAAGTCACTTTAAAACATGACAGTAAGAACATTAACAGAATAAACACACACATATGAGTAACTACAAAACATGACATTAAGAACATTAACAGAATACACATAACTATAAGTCACTTCAAAACATGACAGTAAGAACATTAACAGAATAAACACATAACTGTTAGTCACTTCAAAACATGACAGTAAGAACATTAACAGAATAAACACACACATATGAGTAACTACAAAACATGACATTAAGAACATTAACAGAATACACATAACTATAAGTCACTTTAAAACATGACAGTAAGAACATTAACAGAATAAACACACAACTATAAGTCACTTCAAAACATGACAGTATGAACATTAACAGAATAAACACACAACTATGAGTAACTACAAAACATGACATTAAGAACATTAACAGAATAAACACATAACTTTAAGTCACTTCAAAACATGACAGTAAGAACATTAGCAGAATAAACACACAACATAAGTCACTTCAAAACATGACAGTAAGAACATTAACAGAATAAACACACAACTATAAGTCACTTCAAAACATTACAGTATGAACATTAACAGAATAAACACACAACTTTAAGTCACTTCAAAACATGACAGTATGAACATTAACAGAATAAACACACAACTATTAGTCACTTCAAAACATGACAGTAAGAACATTAGCAGAATTAACACACAACTATAAGTCACTTCAAAACATGACAGTAAGAACATTAACAGAATAAAAACACAACTGTTAGTCACTTCAAAACATGACAGTAAGAACATAAACATTATTAACACATAACTAAAAGACACTTCAAAACATGACAGTAAGAACATTAACAGAATAAAAACACAACTGTTAGTCACTTCAAAACATGACAGTAAGAACATAAACATTATTAACACATAACTAAAAGACACTTCAAAACATGACAGTAAGAACATTAACAGAATAAACACACAACTATAAGTCACTTCAAAACATGACAGTATGAACATTAACAGAATAAACACACAACTATGAGTAACTACAAAACATGACATTAAGAACATTAACAGAATAAACACATAACTTTAAGTCACTTCAAAACATGACAGTAAGAACATTAGCAGAATAAACACACAACATAAGTCACTTCAAAACATGACAGTAAGAACATTAACAGAATAAACACACAACTGTTAGTCACTTCAAAACATGACAGTAAGAACATACATAATTAAGACACAACTATAAGTCACTTCAAAACATGACAGTAAGAACATTAACAGAATAAACACACAACTATAAGTCACTTCAAAACATGACAGTAAGAACATTAACAGAATAAACACATAACTATAAGTCACTTCAAAACATGACAGTAAGAACATTAACAGAATAAACACACAACTATAAGTCACTTCAAAACATGACAGTAAGAACTTTAACATAATAAACACATAACTATAAGTCACTTCAAAACATGACAGTAAGAACATTAACAGAATAAACACACAACTTTAAGTCACTTCAAAACATGACAGTATGAACATTAACAGAATAAACACACAACTTTAAGTCACTTCAAAACATGACAGTATGAACATTAACAGAATAAACACACAACTATTAGTCACTTCAAAACATGACAGTAAGAACATTAGCAGAATTAACACACAACTATAAGTCACTTCAAAACATGACAGTAAGAACATTAACAGAATAAAAACACAACTGTTAGTCACTTCAAAACATGACAGTAAGAACATAAACATTATTAACACATAACTAAAAGACACTTCAAAACATGACAGTAAGAACATTAACAGAATAAAAACACAACTGTTAGTCACTTCAAAACATGACAGTAAGAACATAAACATTATTAACACATAACTAAAAGACACTTCAAAACATGACAGTAAGAACATTAACAGAATAAACACACAACTATAAGTCACTTCAAAACATGAGAGTAAGAACATTAACAGAATAAAAACATAACTATAAGTCACTTCAAAACATGACAGTAAGAACATAAACATAATTAACACATAACTAAAAGACACTTCAAAACATGACAGTAAGAACATTAACAGAATAAACACACAACTATAAGTCACTTCAAAACTTAACAGTAAGAACATTTACAGAATAAAACACATGACTAAATGTCACTTCACAACATGACAGCAAGAACATACATAAACAATATAAAACACCCAACTATAAGATACTTCAAAAATACTACAAGGTTGTACATATATATATAAATCACACAACTACAAGGTTGTACATATGAAGTATAAAACACACAACTACAAGGTTGTACATATAAAGTATAAAACACACAACTAGAAGTTTGTACAAATAAAGTATATATTGGTTGGGTATTTATATTCGATTATTTTATCCTGAGTAATAGCGATTGGTAAAATATGAATATAAATGCCAAACTCATTGTTGAATGAAAACAAATCTACAGCTGCCATGAATTATTTCTTAATTTAAACACAAAAAAAAAGGATTTGTAAATCTATTTACAATCAATTAACACTGACTTTGAAACCAACCTGTAATCAGACCACATCACTGAATGTGAAACATTCCTGTAATCAAAGCACAACACTGAATGTGAAACATACCTGTAATCAAAGCACAACACTGAATGTCAAACATACATGTGATCAAAGCACAACACTGAATGTGAAACACTCAATGTGAAACATACCTGTAATCAAAGCACAACACTGAATGTGAAACATTCCTGTAATCAAAGCACATCACTGAATGTGAAACATACCTGTCATCAAAGCACAACACTGAATGTGAAACATACCTGTAACCAAAGCACATCACTGAATTTGAAGCATACCTGTAATCAAAGCACAACACTGAATGTGAAACATTCCTGTAATCAAAGCACATCACTGAATGTGAAACATACCTGTAATCAAAGCACAACACTGAATGTGAAATATACCTGTAACCAAAGCACATCACTGAATTTGAAGCATACCTGTAATCAAAGCACAACACTGAATGTGAAACATACCTGTAATCAAAGCACAACACTGAATGTGCAACATACCTGTAATCAAATATAAAAAAGAAGATGCGGTATGATTGCCAATGAGACAACTCTTCACAAGATAAAAAATAACACAGAAATTAACAATTATAGGTCACCGTACGGCCTTCAACAATGAATGTAAAACATTCCTGTAATCAAAGCACAACACTGAATGTGAAACACTCCTGTATTCAAAGCACAACACTGAATGTGAAACATACCTGTATTCAAAGCACAACACCAAATGTGAAACATACCTGTAATCAAAGCACAACACAATGTGAAACCTACCTGTAATCAAAGCACAACACTGAATGTGAAAAATACCTGTAATCAAAGCACATCACTGAATGTGAAACATACCTGTAATCAAAGCACATCACTGAATGTGAAACATACCTGTTATCAAAGCACAACACTGAATGTGAAACATACCTGTAATCAAAT